TTTATCATAATTAAATTTCCTATTTATCTAACAATAAGAGTTAAAGAAAGAGTAAATAGATAGAATAAATAGATAATAAGAAATATATACATTTTAGGTTATTCATATATATTCTCTTTCTTAGATAAAATTTGGAAATTTGTGATAATTTTTTTTTTTAAATTCGCTATTAAATAATTCTTTTATTAAATTCATTGTAGGCAACAAGCCGAAAATGCTCTAATTGAAATGGAAGAACGTTGTAAACACCTTGAAGAAAAGAGCCAATTGCTCTGCGAGCTCGCGTCTGAAAAAAGCAATAATATAGCTGTTACAGGTAGGTAAGCTCAGTAATTTCAGAAGTATCGAGAAAATTTCTCATTTACATTTTAAACGAAACATTAACACAGAGCATTATATATTACTCGTCGAAAGCTTTCATTTCGATTATCGATCTTTAGATAATAGCCACACGGAGAACGAGGTTTGCCTGTATAATGATTTGATGGCAGCCCGAACCGAGCTAGAAAAACAGAAGGAGAAGATCGAGCAACTCGAGAAGGAAAAGCAAGAGATTGTCGCTGTGATGCATCAAGCGGCTGTTAGTTTGCACTACTTTCGGGATTTCTGCTCATTTAAGAACTAAAAACCGTTTAATTCGCTTTCTCTTGCTCGTTAGATCGTAATTTTCGTTTCCTATAAGTTCTCCAAAATTAATTTTAATTAGTAGTCCTTTTCTTTCATCAACAGAGTCATGATAACGAAGACGAGACGAAGGATAGATTGGCCGCCGAACTTGTAACCAAGACTCGTGATCTTCAAAATCTGATGTTAGAGCACGCCCGGTTCCAGAAAATTGCCAGATTTGCGTACGCTTCAACATCACGTTAGAATATTATTCCGTCAATGCCTGCTATACTTGAATGTGTATCTATAAAATGTCTTTAAATATGAGACAAAATATGAGACAAAATTAATTGAAAATTAATGTTCCATTTCAAATATAGAAAAAACGATTTTTCTAAAACCTCTAAAAAGTTTAATTAGATGTAAATCTGAAAATGATTTTGTTGGACTATCGAAATATTTATGTAGAAAATTCAAGTACGATGCAAAAAATTTTAATATTCCAATAAATCAGCTTGAGCATTCTATATAATTACTTTAACAGTTTAAGATTTGTTTCCCCTAATGTAAGATTAATTTTAATCTCAGTTCAATTTTTTAATTTTTTTCTAATTCTACAAGGAACCTTAATCCAATTTTGATTTTTACTTTCGGATTTCAAATTTACATTTAAAATTTTTAATACATAGGCAAGAAAGAAATGAAGTGTTGGAGAATCAGTTAACCGAGATTCAGCATCGTCTTCAAGCAAGATTGAAAGAAAATAGCAAGACCCAGGGTCTTGATACAATGGAGCTTCAGCAACAGATTAGTGATCTACGGAACAGCTTAGCTGAGATCATTCAACAAAACCACGAGCTAGAGGCCACCCTGACACAAAAGCAATTGGAATTGGAGCAACGTGATCGGGTGATGCGCGAGCAAAGCAAATTCCTTAAAGTTCGGGACGAGCTGTTGAACATCCTTAAAGGAAAACAGACGAACGCGGCAAATTCTAACGAAAATTACGAAAATATTGATGAAGTAATGTTCGACATTCTTTATAGCTTTCTTTCTAATTTTATCTCATATAATAAATTAATTAAATACAATAAATATTTCTAATTTTTAATTGAGACTATAAAATCTATATAATATAACTGAAATATAAAATATATATAATATAAGCCTTACTGTTTGACGCATTGCTTTTGCAATCATATTCTCAGTAAGCAAATTGTCCATAAATTAGCAGCAAATTCAATCAGAAAAATACAACAGATTTGCTATTATCGATATCCATATTAAGCATTATTTTTGTCAGTAGAGTCTGTATAATGTGTTCGAACGCAGATTCTACTCGAGTTCTGCTGCCAATTTGTTCGTTTTTTTGCCAATCAGCTGTCAAATCATGTAAACAAACTGTTATATTTTTATGGAATTCTGTCACCACATAATCTAGAGTAGATTCTGCATCTAATTTCCTGCTGATAAAATTTTTCAAAATCTATTAAATTAGACTTAGTTGATTGAATCTCTTGGAGTTTCTAATAATAATTATGTGTAATTATCCAGATCAACAAGCAGATTGCGGCAAAGACAGAAGCAATTCAGGAATTGTACGCCACATTGGAGAGCAAACAAATGCAGGTGATGCGACTGGAAAAGCTGGTGAAGCTGCTAGAAGATCAGCAAGACCGCGCACAAGCGCAACGCACGCGACTCGAGCATCGCATCGCGCAATTAGAAGTGAGCTTGCGGGAGAAGACTAAAAATGACAGCAATCGGTACGTGAAGAAATATTTACGTAAACCTCGATCAGGCGATGATAGATTGTCTCGTGTTTTTTCTTGCGAGTCGAGACGAGCGTTACTGGAAGCATCCGCGTCAACATTTCATTTTGTCGATCCGCGTTCACAAGAATCCCCACGATATCGATATTCTTCACGTCGCGTTTTACCCACGAAAAGTTTTGATCCTCCGTCAAGAAAGTTTCATCTTAACGATTGGTATCGCACTTCTTCCGATAAGGAAGAGGCTTTCATCTGCGAACAATGTCGGCGGGAATGCAAGAAATTCAGGGGTGACGTAATCCATCGAATTGAAAATCATCGCATTCAGAAATCTCTTTATAGTTGGCTGATGAATTCTTCAGCTTTGGAAGCCTTCGGCGAACCAACAGGTCGCTTAAACAAATTTCACGAGCTCAGTTCGTCAGAAGAGAATACGGATTGTTTCTTCGTTAATCCTATTGTTGTCCGTAATAATGCGAAGAATTGTAACAGGAAGTCATGTCGTCGCGAACAACATTATTATCGATATCACGGCCATCTGCCAAGGCAATCTCTTCACGACTGCTCTCTTCGACAATATAATCCGATTATTCATACGACATAATGCTATTATTTCTCACGTACAGTATATGCATTACAATGTATCTTATCATATATTATAATTATGTATAATCATTTCATTCTGGGCGACAGTTATATCGATCTAATTCAAAAGTATCCTTGAAAAATCAAATGATAATTATATCATTTTGAAGTTCTATATTAATAATATGTTTCGAACATATTAATAATATGTCATCGAATTTTTCAAAATTTTATAATCGTTTTTATGTTAACAATCGATTATTTTATTAATTATTTCTATAAATTATAATAACATTAGTATTTACAAATATCCATTTTAGTGAATTAATCGTTGTCATTACAGATATAATGGACATTATTGACACACTCGAGACCGACCAATTTATATGAATTTTCATTTGTATACATTTTTCATTGCCATATCATTAAAAAAATTTTTTTAAAGTTCTTTTTTCGTCTCAAATGTGTTAATTATGGCCTGTTTTGATAGGCTAGGTACTCCCTGCTATTTTATATGGATGTAATATGACGACAGAATTTCTTACAGAGTGCCTAGCCTTGCAAACAGATCGAATATCAATTTTTCTATATTTCTGATAACTTATTCTTTTATGTTTTAGGAGTAAAACCTTCGGCATCCTGTAAGAAACTCTGTAACCGTCGGCACAGCCTCTAAATATCAACCTGCGATCACTATTGGATTTTACAAGAAATTATTTACATGTACATGTTTAATATCTAATTTGCATGTACATTCGTAAAATGATATATAAATTTAAAATTTTACACGATACATATATTACATATTTTAAAGCAAATAACGTGTTTATACAAATACGTTTTTGTAGACCCGTTTAATTTGTATAACAATATTTATATTCTATTGAATGAAAATATATACATGAAAAATATATTTATTTATTTCTGCTATTAATCGCTATCATTATCGCTGCTATCCGAATAGGCACCTACGAGAGACCGTAATGGGAGAATATTGCCAACATTATCAGAGTTCGTGTCTATATTTACTGTATTCGATGTACTCGTTGAAGTGTTGAGTGTTTTGTCTAACTGTAGAATTGTTTCCTTATCGGTAAAAACAGTATTTTCGATCTTAGATGTTTTACTTTGTGATGACTTAGCATTTATCTTTATTCCAATATTACTTTTCTTAATTAAAATAGATGAATTCTTTTTACCAGATGACACTCCCATTTTTTCTGACCACAATGATGCTTTAGCAAGTTTTGAAGACTGTCCAAAATTTTCCTGCAAATAATCAATAGTTATTGTGAATTTTAATGTCCCCAATTAAATTTTTTTTGTAACAAACAATAAAATTTACTAAATAAAAAAAGCAAACGATATAAGAACAAACGATAAATAAAATGTATTAAATAGAAGATTTAAATCTTACTGTTTCTTTGCCATTTGCTTCGTTTGTTTTAAGTATTTTAATAGGAGGTTGAACACTTTCTCCTTCTTCTTCTTCTTCCAATTCTTCGATTTCTTCTTCCATAACAGTTCCAGTTAATTGTCTTTTGCCAAATACAGATTTAATATACTGCTCATCCAATTCCTCTTGTTCCTTTTCTGTTCTCTGCTTAGCAGCTTCAGTGTCGTACTGTTCCAACATTTGATCATAATCTATAGTTTGCTGCCTCCGATTTAAATCCTTCAATTCTTCTAAAGATTCCAATAGCTCCAGTTCTTGCTTAGATTGGAGTGTTCTCTTTTCCAGAAGCTTCATTGGGTTGGTAGCTTCTTCCTCTTTCTCCTCATCCTCTTCCCTTTGTGCCTGTTCCTCAGCTAGTTTCAATGCCATAAAGTTTCTTGTGGCACCTGCCTCGATCTCATAATCTGTATTCTTCGGATCTGTCTTAAAGGATATCTCTTGCAGGCAACGAGTGCACTTAATATAAAACCTGTAAATGCGTATACCCAGGTAATCATCGCCCTCCACGTCCTCCTTACGCGCATTAAATTTCTTGCCCTTGTAGATATATTCACCGCATGTTTTGCATCGCATATTAAACGGTGCCATCAATCGCACGGTGTACTGGCGATTTCTCGCCAGTTTCATGCGCGGGATCTTCGACGGATCGAAATCCGGCGGATAATATTTCTAAAATATGAAAAAATAAGAGAAGATCAAGGTACAAATCAATTACAGAGTATCAAAGTATACAGGTAAACATAGGTATATGAAAAGCAATTATTCTCGTACTTACATTCAAAACCTTACGCTCCGACATCTTGCAGCACTAGCTTTTTATGTGTACAATCTTGAAATTTACAGCTTTAAAGTAATTTGTGAAGCAAAACCACAGCTCTTGTAGGTTAGGTCGAAATGTACACAAACCGAATCAGGAACATCGGAAGTGAAGTACGCAGCGTCACTATACTAGCATCGCTTGGCTGCGTTCAGTACTGCCAACCGTATGCCAATCAATCACGGTTCGCCGCGTTAATCGCGCTGAGATATCGATTCACGTAGTTTGCGATTTGCGATTCTCGACGCAACTATTTGATAAATTACCGAGTTCAGTTTAAACGGTTTTCATCGCATCACGTTAATGATTGCGATAATTTAAGCTGTGAGAAGAGAAAACGACGCTGAAGGAGTTTGAACGGTGAGCAAATCTAGAACTCATGGTCGCGAAATGTCGATTTTTGTAAATTGTAACTATAAAATATAATTATATGTTTATATTCTTTATCTGCTTAAACAGGAATTGTCTGGTGTCGGAGATTGAAACTGGAAGTGAGAATTAGCTTAGAGCGTAAATTTTTGTAAAATATCCCATACGAAGATATTATAGTATACGTTACGTATATATTATATATATTATATATATATTATAGATTTCTCTATAGTTTTTCATATGGGATACTTTTTTCAAAAATCAGATCACCGATGGCGAAGAAAATGGTGAGTCAATAGCGTAATTAAGATTACAAAAATTGCAACAATGTTGCAACATTACAGCTACAATATTGCATATTGCAGTGTTATTGCAGTGATATTGCTGCGAATTCTATGCTGTATGGATATCTTCGGCGAGCACGATATATCAAATATTTATATAGATCTCAAATGAATGTTCTAAAGACATCTTAAAGAAATTCGGAAAACGTCTTCATGCTCTCTGAATGTCTAAAGATATTTACCCTGCTTCCATATAGCACAGTTTTTAGTAATATTGCAACAACATTGTAAGCATTGTAAGCAATGTTGCTGCAAGTTCTGTACTGTAACAACTATATAATGCTATAAATCTACTTTATTATGTTAAACGTCTACATAATATGTCTGTTTTTTAACTAAACTAGTATATACTTTTGTACTTGAAGTGAAATTAATATATACATATATATATTGTTTAATAATGTTAGCAAAAACGAATCTGGATCCATGTCATGGAATATGTCGGAATGAATTTCGATCGGAATTATTCCCTGAACAACATGAAAGAAATCTAGAAAATAATTAAATAATTCTGATCGAAATCCATTATTTCGACTTCCATAGATGGCTAGCGATCGTAACTTTTTTTCTAAGCGAAAACGTGAAAAATAAAAATTTTTTTGTATGTATGTGTGTATATGTACATATGTACTTACATACATAAAATTTCTCACTTTTCACATTTTCGTTTCTAGAGAAAAGTTACATCGCTATTCTGGACCTAAATGCATGGAACAATTGGAATTTTGATCGGAATTAATACATTATCTTCAGAAAACATAATAGAAATCTAGGAAATAATTGAATAATTGTAATGGGAATCCATTCTAAATAATTCCACGATACGGACTCTCAATCTTGATTCGTCAAGCGCAATAATAGCTATTCGCGAATTATATTCGCAATTTTCATATTTTTCCTAAAAGAATCGGAATCTCACACTGCTGCTGTCTGATGTATATTACGATTTTACTTCGTTTTGCTTCTCTTCTTTTTCGCGAAAAAGAAAGGATGGTATTAAAAGAGTATTCACATCTCATTTAAATTTGCAAAATAAAAAGATGTGCATAAAAATAAATGGGAAAAGTCTTTAATTGTCGCTTTTGTTTGAAATGCGCATGAATAAAAAATAAAGAATTAATATCGTTCAAGACTTTCCGATATTTCGTCTCTTCTACAAAATTGCCATTGTTTTGACGATTAATCGCTAATTCGCTAATCGGTAATGGATTGCGAAGTGATTGATTCGCGAAGTCCAAAAAATATGTTTCATTCTTGACATTCTTCAACACAATCCTATAGATATTCCCTTTCCCACTTGCTACTCTCTTTAAAATAGATTTAATATTATTACTAAATTTACTTTATAATAATCAACAAAGAATTAAAAAGAATTTATTTATTTATTACAATAATTAATAATTATATATTTAAGAATTTATCCTACATTCTTCAAGACAGTTCTAAATAGCTTTCCTTCTATTTGTCACTTTATAAAATAGATTTAATATTATTATTACATTTAATTATATATAATTAAAGAATTAACAGAAAAAATTCATTTAATTATTTATTATAATAATCAATATAATTATTATAATTATATTGATTATAGTTATAGTTATAATTAATGTAATTATAGATTGAAGAATTTACTCTGTGGATGTTTGGCTGAATGATGAAAGAAGCGATTACTTCTTTTTCTTTCTTCTCTCTACCGCATGAAAGCGTCTCCGGTACGTTTCGAGGAATAAGATTCAGTTTGGCATCATATACGCAGATCTCTATGGACGAGGGTTATTCATTGAGACGCGAGCAAGTCGCAAGTCTGTCGAATAGATCGACTCGGGTCAGTCGATCGCACCCAGAACCGGCAAACGCGAGCTTTGTGCCTTGACAAAGCATTGTGCCGGGAAATGCCGTGACCGGCTTTCGCGGAATTAGAAGAATACGTCCGCACGAATGCGCAGTCTCTTCGTACGTGTTACTCTAGGATTTGCGTGCAAGTTAACTCGACCTCACTGTTCCGAACCGGATTCTAAGTCGCTCTGAAGCTTGCTATCAATTGATCACATTATATTATATTTCTTTATAATTCGATTTTGGAATTCGATAAGTTTTCTAATTCTTGAGAAAAGAAAATGAAAATATCCATATTTTATGTATATTAAAAGTTACTGAATACGTGATTTTCCCATTAATACGTTCTTCGAACTTAAAAAGTTTTGCTAAATATTAAGAGTTTAATTAAAGAAAAAATTAAAAAAAAATTTATCAGACGATTAAAGTTCACTTTAATACAGTAAGAAAATCTAATAACACTCCTGTCGGAAAAATCAATTTCTTGTTTTTTTCTCTTTTTGCATTTTAACGATAAATATACTTCTTATCACGGTTTTTTTCTTCTAACATTTGTCTCGAGTATTTATTTCATTCATTCGATGGCGCACTCCAAGGCGAGACAGGATCTCTTTCTCGTAAGGTTTCCGTAACAATAGATTTTTTTTTTTCCGGAATTAGATCGTTAGCCTAATGTCCAACTCCCAACCTAGGGGATCCATACATATATCCTGATATATGTATGCACATAGAACCTACAGTTTAATGCCGGATCCGAACGGCGCTGGTGATCAATGATCTTAAGGGCTCCGTACAATAAAAGAAACAGGGAACAGAGAATAAGAATTTCAACCTGTCAGAAATCATTTATTGTGGAATACACAGTTTCTGGTAGGTTGAAATTCTTATTCTCTATTCTCTGTTCCTTTTATTCTGCGGAGCCCCTTAATCACCAGGTGGAGTCATTTTCAACTCTTCAAACGCGAAAAATCGTATATGAGTGCAGATGGGATTGAACTCGGATCTACAAATCGCGAGTCAATCGCATCGAGCGGCAAATAACTGGATGCCTCTATTTCGGATAATAGAAAACAAAAAAATAACAGAACAAGAAGCAAAAAGGTAAGAAATAAAAAAAAAATAACATAGAAGATAAAGAGCACATTGTAAAGAGACCTTAAAATATTCCATAAACATCGAAAAGCTCTTTCACAAAACAAGGTTCTCTTCTCATAGAATAACTTTCTTATTTTTTAGATTCGTTCCTCCCCTCTCTTTTCAACGCGATTTCACGGCGATAAATTCAAATCGTTTAAAAGTATACTGCTTAAAAGCACTCATAATCCATAGTCGGCAAGTATGAACAGTGTATTCTTCATCCGGTCGAACCTATCGCGTCAGAGATTCTCGGTCATTGGATACCTCTGGTTATCCTACGGATGGTGGTGCTGCATCGCATCCACCCCCGAGAACGCAGCCCGCCGAACTTGCGTCGAACAGAACAGGGTAAGTGCGAGAGGGAGATGCGAGGAGAAAGAAGTAGGAAAGAAGAAGATTCCGCTCGCGGAGGGCACATGAAAATATGTCTCGGAATACCGAAAACCGAAACACGAGCTGGCCAAAGCTCTCTTCCTTCTCTTCATCCTCAAGAAGGGACGCCGGCGGCCCTCTGTGTGACATTGGAGATCATCATCATTTCGCGACTGCCTACTCTTCTCCTCCACCCACTTCCTCCAATATTTTTTCATTTTTTTATGTCGTTTGTTTGTTCTTACGCGTCTATCTATATACATATCCGCACGCGAGAACATGCAAATTGCTGTGTTTTACATGCGTACGTGATGTGTGATGCAGATTTTTTTTCAAGCATTACGATTCGTGTGTTTCATTTATCGATCGATCTGCTGAAAAAAGGAATTTTGCGGTCGATATTATCATTCAATCGCGTGGCTGTGCTAGATTCGACTGTGGCGCTGAATTTCCTGGGAACTAGTCGGAATTTCAGGTTCATTTGTTCGTCTTTTGAGATCAACGAGCACTTTGGGAGGTATTGTCGGCGAGGCATCGTTCAAAAATCCATGTATTCTTAAAGAATTTTAGAGAAACGTTGCACTTCAGTCAGTTTCTTCTTCATGCCTACCTGAACATTCCCACAGGTTAAGAATTTCTAGTTGAATGGCGGGAGTATTGAGACAGTGACCTGGTCCATGGGTAAATATATTCAAGGCTTTCGAAGAATTGTCGTCTCTACACACTTCACGGTGTGTCAAGATCGAAACAGGTCGCGTACATCGTATAAGAATAATCTTCCACGAGCAAGCGGCTCTCATCACTTATCGCGACGCCATTAACTACTTTAATTAATTTTATATTACTAAAAAACATGTTCTGATTGAATCAACATAAAGATCCAACAAAAATGTTACTTTGAGAAACTTGCTAGAAATTCTGTTTAATCATCAAAATGCTATTCTTGTTGAACCTTTTTGTAAGTTTAATTAAAACATTTCACTAAAAAAAGTGATCTTGCAGTTATAGCGAAAATTATCTAAGTACGAAAAATAGCTAATTGATAAATT